TGTAATGTCTCCAATGTTTTGGTTTTATTGGTTTTGTTCTTTACTGTTTTGTTCAATTTTATTATAACTGATTATATAGGCAATTCTTTTTAAGATAGCAAGAGGCATTATGGTAACCACTGTTGATCACCTTGTATTTTGTTTTTACATTATGTATTATGTCCATCCTTTTGATTTGACTGACTGTTTTGTTATATCACATTTGGTTTTATTCTCTTCAAAAAAGTAATAAGAACTGGGGGAGTAATAAAACCCAAAATGTGTGATTGTCATTGTACAAAAGAGAGGAAAAGAAAGTGCTCTAAAGGATATAACTGCATGTATATTTAAGTGAATAAGATAGGTAACCATATTACTGAGTTTTGTTGGATCATTGAACAGAACTGTTTGAAGTCTCAATGTTTGAATGTCCACTTTATATGCTTTAATTTTGTAACTTGAGCAACTATTTCTAAGATGACAATATGTAATCTATTAACTAGTGATTTCCTATTCTTTATTTTTTCTGAAATTCTGTATAACTTGTACCCTTTTTCTGTTTTTTTTTTTCCTTAAATAAAATTTAAAAAAAAAGAAAGAAAAGCTAATTGGAATAGCATTTCTTTAGTTACCAGGGTCAGGTGTCTAATTAACTAGGCAATCATTATTGTTGTTTGCTTTATTTATATTCTCTCTTGAATCCTGTATAGTATTTCAATTCTTCTAAGCATTTCTCTATTTAACTTATTTTTCTCAAATTTACCAGCACAAAGGCTGAGGGTATAGCACAATAATAGACTGCTTGCCAAGCATGGACAAGGCCCTGGGTTTGATTCCCTCTCACTTCAAAAAACTTGGTAGTATACCCAAAAAATATATTTACTCAAATATCCTTAATTTTGGTTCAACACTTCTTTTTTGTTTATCATTTCTAAATTTAAAGATAATCTTGATTAAATTTTAAAAACCAAAAGTATTGTTTGAGACAAGCTCTTGCTGTAGTCCAAGCTGGCCTTTGAACTCATGATGATCCTCCTGTCTCAGCCTCCTGAGTGCTGGGATTACAGGGGCACCTGACTTCAGCAATTCTTTGTGTAGAATTTTCTATATCCCTTTAATATACTATTTGTTACCTGGGTGCTCTAAAATTGATTTTCATACAGATTTAATGAAATACCCTTATTCATTTACAGAAACCAGCTCTTCCCACTGTTTTCCTGGAATAATAGATTAATGCTAATTGTTAATGTCATACATATTTCACATATAAAGAATTAGAATTCTATTTTTGTTAGCAAAACCAGCATGTAAATTATGACTCAAAATTCAGTAGTTTCTGACAGGCAATAGAAATAGCAAGTATTCAATATAAAACATTGGCTTAGGCCATAAATCCATAAAAATCAAGGAGCAATTCTCTAGGCTTCTTTGCTGTTGTCTGGGTAAGAAATTTCCTTCCTTTGAACCATAGAGAGCAAATTATAGTAAAATAAAATATGGACTTTCTTTTTTTTTTTTTTTTTTTTTTGTCTTTTTCCTTTTTATCGGTACCGGGGATCGAACTCAAGACTGCCTGCCTGCAAGGCAGGCGCTTATGCCACTGAGCTAAATCCCCAGCCCCAAAATATGGACTTTCGCTTGGGACACGGCTAGTTATGTGCACTTATAGCAAGTAGCCAGTTATCAAATATCTGCTAGCAACCAAGGACTAGGTATTATGCTAAGAGAGAAGGATATACCCTGCCCTCCCTTCTCTCCTGTCTCTGGACAGAGGCATAAGTTATCATTCTGCTTCTCCAGTTGCCATTTGGTTAAACAGTACATAACACCAAAGTACTGTAAACCGAAATTACCTGTAAGATGCAGGTAAAAATGCCTACCTCACAGGGTGGTTTTAAGAATTAAATGTTAGAAATGTTTATATACAATACCTAGTGTGTAATAAATAGGTGAGTAACAACTGTTAATTCCTTTTCTTTTTCCCTTTAGATACATACTCACAAAAACAAATGTCTTACCTTGAGGCAGGAGTAATACATAGTGTCCTTTTAGTATTTATAGCACATCCAAATAATCAATTACCATAAATACCAAGACTCCAAATTTTTAGCAGGTGGTTTCCTCAGACTTAGCGCCTCTGAGATTCTGGGCTGAATAACATTCTGAAAGTTTGGGCTGTCCTGTACATAACAGGACTTAAGCAGCATGCTTGCCCCCTTCCACCCCACCCAAAGATGCTGGTAGCAGCACTTTGGGTGCAAACATCCCAAATGTTTCCAGACAGCACCAACTGTTTCTCCAGGGTCAAAAATCTGCTCCTCCCTACTCTGGTGAGACTCAGAGCATTAGTGAATCATAAACTCACATTTAGTGGATCTTGAGCATTAAAAAAAAAAAAAGGCATCAGATTTGCTATGGGCTGAATTCAAATGCAAGTCTAACCTCCAATGTGACTGTGTTTGGAGGTAGGTTCCTTAGGAGATAATTAAGGTTAGAAGTCACAAGGTGGGGGCCTATTCTCACGGCACTGTGTCCCTATATGAGCAGGAAATAGCTTTCTTTGGCTGCCATGTAAGGACGTGGCAAGGTGGCCTTTGACAAACCAGAATGCCTTCACCAGGAACCAAATCAGCTGGTACCTTCATCTTAGACTTTGTAGCCTTTGTGACCTTGGACTACAGCTTTGTAGTTTTTAAAAGATTTTTTGTATGGCAGCCCAAACTAATACAGAACTTTGTTTCTATGGAATAGAAGATCTTTGACAGCATCATCAATAGCTAGGTATTTACTTATTGATATAAAATTCTTACTACAAGTTATGATCAAAAGTTTGAAAAGACATCCCAGTACTCTGGGCAGCAGAAGTAGGAGAATCCCCACAAGTCTGAACCCAGGCTAGTCAGTTTGGCAGCTTAGCAAGACCCAGTCTCAAAATAAAATATAAACAATTGGCTAGCAATGTATTTCAGTGTAAGGGCCCTGGGTTAAAAAAAAGAAAGAAAGAAACTACCATAAAAAAAGAAAGGCAGATGCAAAGGAAATTCCCCTATGATTTTGCAAAGATCTCTCATAAGGTCCAAAGATGGTAACATCTGGAAAAGTTAGTGTTTGGTGGTATTCAGTCATCAAAATTTAATATCAAAATATTAGATGGAATATTAAAACTTTTCCATTTTGGCTTGCTCACCTTGGTAAATCCACAGCTATCAGTGAAATGAATAAATGAGTGAACACACACTACATCATCTCTGCTAAACTTCAGTCAGGCCTCTGATCATCTTCAATCCAACTGCTGCTCCTTTGCCTGGAATCCCTTCTCTGCCACCCTACCCTCACTTCTAGAATCAGCTCGATTGTTCTCTGGCCGACATCTTCCACAAGGTCTAAAACAGGCTTTTTTCTCTGTAACCTGTTCCAGTTTGTTTCCTGACACCCCCTGTAACTCCGCACCCTTTCTACCACACTTCCGGAGCCCACCCCAAGGTGATATTAGTTCAGTTTGAACAAGCCGAAGCTGCAGCTCCCACTATGGTGCTTTTGGATATGAAGTCGCCGTTTAATACCTGTTGACTGGTTGAGCGGAAGGAAAACAAGCCCATGACCGCCACTAACGAAGCAAGGGAAAGCCCATTTCCTTATTATGGTCTGAACTAAAGGATTGTTTTGTTTTTTTTCCCCTGGAGAGCGCGCGAAAGGAAGGCTCCAACATCAGCGGTGGCAGGCCACCACCCTGTGGAGCTGTAGCGCACTGCAGGCGCACGCCCGCCCAAAGTCAAACCCCAGGACAAAGGCAGCCCAGCCATTCAGCACTGGAGTCTGCACGGTCCCTGCCTGCCGTTTATCGGTGCGTGTTTTCAATTTCCTAGAGACAAGAGTCGCTTCGGACCCTTGCCGAGCCCACGGCTTCCCAGGGCTGAAGATTCTGTCCGTGCGTTGCAGACAAAAGCACCCTATTGTGTGTATTTTTATCCAGTACCCCGAGTGATTCTTACTGCGGAAGTCTGTGAAGCCAGCACCCGCGTCTCGGTTCTATAGCACCGCAACACTTTCCCCCATGTCCCTATCTCCAGGTTAACTGTGGGATGCTACTGAGCTCCTTGCACAAAGCTGGACCTGACCGGACCTACGCGGCCCAGGCCGCGGTGCAGGAGGCCTGAGGGTACGCTGCCCCTCGCGGCGTGATAGAAGAGGTCAGAGCGAGGGGACTGGCGGCGGGGACACACACGGGCTGGGCTCGTCCCTCCTTCACTGGGAGGCGGGGTTAGAAGCCGTGGGGCGAGATGGGCTGAGAAACCGCAAGGCCAGCGTGTCATCCCTGTTTTCACTGCGTCGCAGCTCGCACCGCAGGGCGGCGAGCCAGTCAGTTGTCCTCCTTCCTCCGGTTCCTGTGAGCGCATCACCGACAAAGAGGCGCTGACAGGGAGGAACAGCTGGAAACTTCTGGAAGAAAAACTGTCAGCTGTCCACACCCATATTAAGTACCAGAATCATTGCGGATGCTTGCTTAAGGGGCCTTCATCATCACAACGTCCCGTCAGCGTGGAAGCTGCAAAACGCTTTACACACCCTGCTTTACACCAGGCTAGGGACGAAGACCTAGATACTGCGCATGCTCGCGCGGCTGCCTGCGCAGGCGCACTACATTCCGCGGCTGTAGTCTGGCTCTGGGGGCGGGAAGAGCGCCAGTCACGTGGGCCCGGCGTTCCCTCTCTACGATTTCCCTATAAGGATTTGGGCTACGAGGCCCCGCCCCTCGCCTGGTCCTGGAATGTGTCGAGAAGCCAAAAAAAAAAAAAAAAAAAAAAAAAAACCCACATAATAGACGCAATCATCTGCGGAAAGAAAGGGGGAGAGGAAGACTTAAAGTGGAAGAAGCGGTGTAAAAAAGAGGGTGACTCAATAAGAAAACGCAAAGAACTGCCACATATTCCGTCATGTTATGTTCTGTTGGCTTACACCCTTATTTTGTGCAGTCCTTCAATATTGCGCCCGCTGACCACAGTGGCAGTCCCCCTCGCGGTCGCTCTCCCATGAAGCCGGCCTACTCTCTCAGTGGTCCAGGGTGACTGAACTTCCTTCCGGTGTGCTAAGCGTGGCCGGAAGTGCTGGTTTTTAGTAGCTGTGAGGGTAAAAGGGTGTGGATATCTGCAGCGAGGGGCTTGCTGAGATACCCTGGTTCTCGCGGCTGTGCAAGGTGAGTGGTGGTCGCGGTCGTCATCCGGAGGACCCGTGTCTGCAGGTCGGGGGCGTGCCTGGGCAGGTGTCAAGGCAGACCTCAGGTTTGGAGCCCTGAGGTCGGTCGGCTGTGGAATCAGAGGCCGAGGCCACCAATGGCCCAGACGCAGACTTCGCTCCAGTGTCCAAAGTGGCAGTTCGGAAAATGTGGCTTAGCTCGCTGGCGCCTTCAGCTTGGGCGACCGCCGGGCCCGCGAAATCCGAGCCCCCCAGAACTGACTCCGGGACTATGTTTAGTTTCTAACGTAAACTTGTCCGATTCCAGGGAGTTTGCGCTGGGACTCCGCATTCTCATGGCCGCAGCTGTTGTTGCAGCTGTGCGACTTCGTTTAGTAGCAGTGACCAAGTCCATCTCGAGCTCAGGGTCCGCTCCTGCAACTAGAACTTTTAAAAGTGGTGTTTCAGGAGGAGTTAGGAGGTTTAGTTTACCGCTGGAGGGAAAATTCCAAAATAAAATACCATTTTCCTTTTGGGATGGAGGCTTTGAGTGAAATCAGTTTGCCAAAGAATTGTTTCCTTTTAATGTAGTTTAGTAGGTATGTAAAAATACGTGTCGGTTCCTAGAAACCTGTGGAACAGAAATGGGTTGAGATTTTAACTTCATGAATGTAGTTTTTTATCTAAAGGTGAAGAAAGCAAGTATTTATTAAATTGCTAGCGTTTGTTTGGTGCTCTGGAAGGCCTTTGATAAGTTAACCAGAAAAGCATTTTATTTTCAAAAGCATGGCGTTTTGTCGTCAACCCTGACAGCTGTCTTTGTCAAGTGATTAAAAAAATTTGGGGTGTGGCAGTCTAAGAGAACTAATCCGACTTTCAACCGGAAATTTGCAAAAAAAAAGAAAGAAAGAAAGAAAAGTTTAGTTGGAATGGAAGCCTCAACCTGAAAAGAATATATATATGTATATATATATTTTTTAAATTGGTACCGGGGATCAAACTCACAACCGCCTGCTTGCAAGGCAGGTGCTTATGCCGCTGAGCTAAATCCCCAGCCCTGAAAAGAATATTTTTTAAAAAACCGTATGGTAACACAAAAATCTCTAAGCTTGAAAAAGAATACATTGACTAAATGAGATGTAGATTCAACCTAGTTCTGGGATGGAAGTTTTTCATCAAGGATACCTCTTATTACTGAATTTAAGTACTCTGTATAAAAAGTCTAGGTTGCCAGGCCTGGTGGCACATCCTGTAATCCCAGCACTTGGGAGACTGAGGCAGGAGGATTGTTGCAAGTTGGAGACCAGCTTGGACCACAAAGTGAGCCTAAGGCCAGCCTGAACTGCATAGTGAAACCTTGTCTCAAAAAGACAAAAAAAAAAAAAAAACCCAAAACAAAAAAAACCTCTAGATTATTTTATGTTTAAAACAGTTTTGTAAAATGCTAGGCTTAATGTTTTACCTAAAGCAATTTAATGCATCCATTAGTATGGATTGGTTCCATTTTAATAGGTTTTTCAAAATCGCTAGATAGCAGTGTTCCTAGACATTCTTGCATTTCACCATCTCAAAAATCTAGTTGCCCCTGGCAATTGGGGAAGCCTGCTTTAGTGAACTCTTGACTTGTTTCTTCCATATCTTAATCTAGTCTAACATTTTCCTGAAGCATATTTCTTACCCTTTTTTTTTTGTTTTAGCCTTTAATGATTCTTCTAGAGCTCTTTAAATACACACACGCACAGAAGTTCACTGCCACCAGCACCGCCTGCCCTAACAAAATGCACCTACATTTCTATCAGTAAACTGAATATTCTTGATCACCCTTGTCAGCCTCTCATTTACTTTCTCATGCATCTGAAATCCTCCTATATTGTTTAGAATCTGCTCTGCAAAATCTCCTACTTTGCAAGTTTCGCACAACAGATAACCTCTGCACACCAAAGATCTTTCATTAAATGTTTCCAAGATACAGACTCAATTTTACAACTGAGGACTCTTAATTTGTCTCAGGTGCTAACCTGGTGATCTTCTCATCCGTCCTAAAAAGATATAAAGAATACATGCACTGATGTGTGAAAGTTTCAGTTTTATTTTATTCTTGACTTTTTAAATTGATACGAATTCTGCATTTGCAGAAAGCTTGTTATAAGAAAAGTTACAGCCATGTTTGTTTGGGGAGGGGCAGTGAAATGAGCAGCAAAGAGGCACTGACAGTATTGAGAGGATCTTGAAATCCACATGCTTGTTCCTGATTTGATTCTCACCACCCATATTGTTTCACCCAAACTTTTAATTTAGTGGGGGGGGGGGGAGACGACGACCGTTTCCTTGTTTTGGAGCAAGTGATTGTGACACTGAACAACTGTTGCTGCAAGGCTCCAGGTTTCTGTTGGAGATAAATCAGAGATCAGAATCCATTCTCCTTGAAAAAGCCAAGGCCCAGGTAGTGACTTGCCCAGCATTGTACTATCAGTGTTTGGTAGAGTTAATTACCTTAGTTGGTAGAAATATGACTAACATCTGAATCTCTTCATTCTAAAGATATTTAGCTTCCAAATGATGTTGCGCAGGGTTTTTCAAAGTACCTCTCCCCTGAATGTTTAGAGATACTGTACACAGAATCTGTACTGAGCTCATAGTATTTGCCAGTCTCATGCTACCTTATCAGTTATTTTGCATTATTGTCACATTCTTGACTTTAGTCATACCTATGGAATGAAAACTATGTGACTCATTTCATAAATTGAATCAATCATTGCATTTCTTTATAGTTGTCTCCCATTTGTATTTTAAGGTCTTGTAAGATAGGGTACCTCTTATACAACTCAACCTTAACTAGGGGTCAACACTAAAGACATTTGATATATATTAGTATAATAAGCTGATCATAATCGGGTGATACAACTAAGTATTAAATGAGTTCTGTGTGAGGCTGTTGTCTGTGCTGACCAAAACCAGAGAAAATAGTCCTTTTGAACTATTGCATTATGCGTTTATACATTCGAAAAATGCATGATTGGGGCCAGGGACGTAACTCAGTGGTAGAGTGCTTGCCTAGGTTTTTCGAGGTCCTAGGTTCAATTCCTGAGAACTACCTTCTTCCCTTCCCAAAAAAGCATGATTAGAAGAGTACATAATACACCAGAAATTTAATAATACATTTATATATGTCTTACAGTCCAAACTAAGCTTTTTTAAAACGGAATCTTTTAGGACCCCTACCTACACCACATTGAGATATGTGACATTTTGTGTTAAAAAATCACTTACTGATCGTTTGACCTGTAGTTCTCATCAGTTTCTTTGTTCTTAAAATAACTGACATTTCTGCATCCTAGGGAGAAACAATGTTGGCTTACAGAATAAACTATTTTTAAAGATGTGCTTTGGCTTCAAAGGCATGACATGCTTAAAATACTAAAGAGATATGGGCTGGGATATAAGGTGCCCCTCCTGGAGTCTTCACCACTCACTCCAAATCTTTGAGTACATTTAAGAGAGAGAGCAATAGTATACTCTGTAACATCTTGTGTTTTTATTTTTAACATTTAACATAGAGAAGGAACATATAACTTGGTATCATTTAATAAAGATACACAGCCTACAGAAGGGATTCCAGAATGAAAGGCTCATGAGTGGCTTGGGTGGGTCATGGAAAGCATCTCTGACAGAAATTGAGGGGTGATTCCTGTGCCACTTGTGGTATATCTTTTCAATGACAAATGAAAAATGACAATGACTTTCAATGGCCAAAGAATGCTTTCTTAGGTGGACTAGAATTTGTGACTGCCCTTTCTGGAATTTCCTGCTAAAATCAGAAAACAGATTTAGCTGACAATAATATGAGTGAAGCTTTTCTAATTGTTTCCATAATTGAATTTAGACTGGATGATGTGGTCTAGTCATGGAAAGGACATAAGAAGCCACTTTTCAACTCATAGGAAATATTAGATGCCGAGGGCCACTGTGAGTGCTGAGATCTAGGTAGTACTTCATTCTTTGCAGTCCACAGATTTATTTTTAGAGCAGGAGCATAGTGTTTGGCCACATCAGAGCTAAATGTTTTCAGAACGTAAGCTTTAAAATTGTTATCCTGGTCAGAGAGTGAAATCAGTAGCGCCTATTTTAGACCTGCTTGAAGAATATAACTCAGTGCAGTGTCCGGCCCTTGCTGGTCAGAGGACTACAGTCTCTCATCTCTACTTCGGCTTGGAGGAATGGTACGGGACAATTTTACTCTCTCCTATCAGATTTTAAGCTTCATATGGGACTTTAGTCTCTCAAGTAAATGTTGGAAAGGAAATTGCCTTTGCACTTTGTGTACTCTTAGACATTCTTTTTACTGTTAACTTAGGATGTACCAGGATAAATGCAGGTCATCTGAAAATAAAACTCATTTCCCTACTTGTTTAACATGTTCTGTAAAGCTTTTTAAACTAAATTGCTTTAAAACCTTGTATTCTGATTTGTTTAGAGGAATCTGTTACATCAAGTAATTCAGTGTGGCTCTAATACAAGAAACTGATTTGGATAGAGTGTGAGGTCTACCAGATTAATTATAGGTGAATTGGCCTTGGGTTTCTATACTTTTCCATTGGGCTTTCAACAAAATGTGTCTTGATTGACTTTGAACCTGGAATCGAGCAGGGTGAGTTGAACATGGTAGATGCTGCTTGCCGGTAGTGATAAGAGAAGCCTGTTTGTCAGCTGTCTTCCCCTTCCTGGCCTGCCACCCTGGACTAGGACAGCTAGCTCTGACAGAGATGCAGCCGGCGGACTGCTGAAGAAGTGTGTTTCTGAGCTCCCCGTAGTGCTCAAGTATGGCTTCCCAGGTACCTGAGCTTGATTGTTTTCTCATTATTAGAACCCAGTTGGTGGACGTGGTTGTCAGCTGTCAGGCAGCTGTTGGACAGCAGGACAAAGGGTCTGTGATCTTGTTCATATGCTGTGACTTCTGCATTGTTGTTGGTTGTCTGGTGATAGGCTGGTTGAGCTCAAAATACAGGTCTGACTCTTTTTTTCCTGTTTAGTTTGGTCCTTTGAGTAATGGATTTCGGTCAGTGGAGAGATTTTACAAAGTGGTATTACTCTGCATTAAAGAATTGCTCTCTAAGTACCTCAGCTATATCAGGACTATTACTTCTGTTTACTTTTGTTAATCACTGTTTCCATTCAACCTTAAGTGATCTTAGATACTGATTTTATTTCTCTTCTGTTCCTTTTCTTTTTTAGGAATCAACCGCCACCATGTCGAGCAAAAGGGCAAAGACCAAGACCACCAAGAAGCGCCCTCAGCGTGCCACCTCCAACGTGTTCGCCATGTTCGACCAGTCGCAGATTCAGGAGTTCAAGGAGGCCTTCAACATGATTGACCAGAACAGGGATGGCTTCATCGACAAGGAGGACCTGCATGACATGCTGGCCTCACTGGGTAGCTCTCAGTTCTTACGCTGGTGTTCTGGGTGGTTGGCACGGTGCCTGTCATCTTTATCTCACGAGTGTGAAAGCCGGCACAAGGAATCTGGTAGCGTTCAGACAAAGGGTGCAGCAGTGGCTCTCACTGGGACCCCGAAGACGCCGTGTCTGTGTCCTTGTGTTTGGGCATTGAGCTGGGAGAGTGTGTGTGTATGGGGGGGTGTGTGTGTTCATTATGGAAGCAGGGATGCTCCCCCTAAATCCCAGTGGAACATCATTCTGTCCCCAGACTTTTCATACAGGCTATCTTCATTGAGAAGAACTTTCCCCAAATAGTTTTGCCATCAAGGAAAACTGTACCAATGATCATCTCTGTTGACAGTGTTCGCTGTGGTTAGTAGTGGGTGTGCCAAAGCTAGGACCGTCTCTTTTGCAGGGAAGAACCCCACCGACGCCTACCTGGACGCCATGATGAATGAGGCGCCGGGCCCCATCAACTTCACCATGTTCCTCACCATGTTTGGGGAGAAGCTCAACGGCACAGACCCCGAGGACGTGATCAGGAATGCCTTCGCCTGCTTCGACGAAGAGGCCACGGGTGCGTCCAAGGCAACCTTTCATTACAGAGTGATTTGGTTTTAGTTATGGCATCTGAAATGCACAGGGATGGGACAGGTGCCAGTGTACCACCCTCAGCTCTGCGTTTGTCCTGCCTGCTGTTTTGGTCAGGGGTCACGCTCACCAAGTGTTCGTGGAGCCAGATGTGGCTTGGTTTGTAATCCCTGCACTCAAGAGGCTGATGCAGGAGGATCCCTGAGGGTTTGAGGCCAGTTTGGGCTACGTAGTGAGTTTGAGGTCAGCCTGAGCTACATAGCAAGACCCAATCTCGAGGGGGGGGGGCACAAATATGTTAAATGCGTAGCTTTTACCAGAGCCAGCTTGGGCAGAGTGTAAACTGACATCAGCTGTGGCACAGTACAGTTCTGTTTGCTCACCAGGTGACTGTCTACCGTACAACTTTAAGTTTGCTGTCTGACCTCAGCTGTGAAATAATACCAAGCAGAGTGGACACTCTGGAGTCAAGGCTCCGTATTTCAGATTCCCTTGGGCATGTTACTTAAAAGTCGCCAAGCCTTTGTTTTGTCATTTGTGAATCAGGCCTAATACTGTCCATCTCATTGGGCTGTTTTGAGGATGAAAGAGAGACTGAGATAATGTCTGAAAGCTTAGCATGCTTCTCAGCATCTTGTTAGTGCTCACAAAAACAGTGTTAACTGTGTAAATACGCAGTCCTTTGGCAGAAGTGGAAGTAAGAAAAAACATGTAAGGAAATGGTTTTTAAGGCTCAAAAATCAATGGCACAGCCAAATGGTTTTAGAAATGGAAGGTCTGCTGAATGTGATGCACACATCTATAATCCCAGCACTCAGAGGCCAAGGCAGGAGGAGCACCGTGAGTTCGAGCCAGAATGGGCCACACAGCGAGTTCACAGCCAGTCCGAACTACACAGTGAGAGTCTGTCTCAGAAACAAAAACAGAAGGGAGGCCTGCCCTGGTATCTGCCTCCTTGGACTAGTTTCGGTACTGGGTGGTGAGACCCTGTCTGGGATTTCTTACCACTTTCTCCCGGCTCCCAGGAACACAAAAGGCCATCCCATTCTTTTTGTTCTCTGTTTTGTTTTGTTTTCTGTATCTCTTAGCTGGCACATGCACTCCTTGACTTTATGTCTTAGTTGTGCACTTATTTCCAGTTACCACGGTTTCTTCCCACTCTAGTGGCTGCCTCAGGTAACAGTATTTTGTTCTCATCTTTGTACTCCTCTCTGGCACCTGCCACCACCCCTGCCACAGTAGATGATTGGCAGATGTAATAACTGAGTGACTTGCCTAGAGATGAAGACTATACTACAGAGCTGAAATTCTAAGATCGGAGGTGCAGCTTGTAAAAATATGGAATTGAGCCAGCAAAATCCCCACAAATCTTGTTTTTTCTCACCCAGCCTTGTTCTTCAGACTCATTTGATAGGAAACATATCCTGTCAGTGTTTTAGTTTAATTGCACATGCAAGGAAACTGTCAGTTTTCATCGTCTTCGAATTTCAGGAATCTCTGTATTTCAGTTACACCACTGGTGGTAATAATGGTTCTTATCGTAGTGTGTGTGAATTACTTGGGGAATTTTAAAAATGCCAGGCAGTAAATCGAGGTGACATGCAAGGTTCCGTTTCTGTGTTCTGTAAGTACTCGTATTTATTCTTTTAAGCAGACAGGTCTTATGAGAACCACAGTATACAAAACTAAGGCTAAAGAGAACCTTTCTGGCTCATGGCTGCACATCCCCACTGCTTAGTGCAGGGTCGGTGACAGGCCCAGTGCCGAGGTGTTAACTGCACGTGTGAGGCCTGGCCACACTTGCCACCATATGTCAGTTTGTCTGCATTGAGAGTCTTCTTTTATATAGAAGAGAGTTGGGTGTGAGGCGAAAGGAATGGGCCTCGGCATCGCAGAGTCCTTCCCCACCACGGAGCCCACCCCAGTGTTCCCGGCAGGTGGGTCATCTCGGGCGGCACTGATCCTGGTTCCCCATTCCGCAGGCACCATCCAGGAGGACTACCTGCGCGAGCTGCTGACAACCATGGGCGACCGCTTCACAGACGAGGAGGTGGATGAGCTGTACAGAGAGGCCCCCATCGACAAGAAGGGCAACTTCAACTACATCGAGTTCACGCGCATCCTCAAACACGGGGCCAAGGACAAGGACGACTGAGAAGAGCTCCACTGCCCTCCGAGTCCTCCTTGTTGCTACTTTGGGTATTTCCGAGATTTTCTCCTAGAGCCTGGTACATGCTTATAGCCCGGCAGCTTTCGCCTTTCTTGTTTTGTATTTATTCTCAGCCCTTTTGGGGCACATGTATCTTTATAATCAGACTGGAAATGTTATTTTCAGAACAGGAGATAGGGTAATTCACTTACCTGTGATCCTCTTCCCCAGTAACTGTGGTCTCTACAGAGTCAATATATTTTTTCAGAGAAAGTTATTCACTCAATTTTTTCTGAACCATAATTAAACTTTATGATAAAATACTTGTTTAAATTTCTTATTTACCAAAGTTGGCTTTTTGTGGGTTTTCATTGCATCTTTCGAAGAAGCAGGTGAGGAATGTCCTAGAAAATGACGAACATCTTACTCTCCAGGTTCCCTGACAATCCAGCTCCTCTCTGCTGTTCATTTCATTTCTTCCTCTCTCAAGGAAATCTCGTTTTCACTGTCCTAACTAGAGTTCCTGCACTTTGTCTTCCGAGTTTTAAAATAACTTCCTGTAGAAGTTGTGTATATGTGATTACATTCATAGTTGTAAGTCCTAGTTTGACACACCTGCTTTACCTAATCTAAGGTTTTTCACGTTATTTTATACCATTTTTAAATGGTCAGGACACGGAGTGTAATTTTCATTTGTCCTGTTTCTTAACATATTTTAGCTTCAAACGTTCTGGGGAATGATTTTACCAAAAAGGCTGACTTCTGCGTGTGTTTCAAACGGCTGGGAGGACCGTGTGCTCTTCAATCGCGTGGCTTTCTTGACTACAGCAGCCCTCACCGAAAGCCCAAGTTTGTTTCTGCAGAGATTCAGCCTGAGTCCCCGTGTGAATTTTAGACATTCCTCACCTGCCCGCAGTCCAAACAGCTGATACTACATGCCTCAGAAAGTGAGATCATTGTTCAAGTCCTAAAAATAACGCTGCTATTTGCAGAGGCAGGGCTTCTGCTTCAGGGTAATCTGTGGAGGGCAGTTTCATTCACCTTAGGCCTTAAAACCAGGTTCTCATAATATTCATCGAGTTTTGAAATGGTAGAGGGAAAATTTGGTTAAAAGGAATTAACAGCCTGCAAAGGTGAGCCAGTGACAGTTACCCTAATGATGTCTAGTTTTGTGCACCTGTTAACCAGGCTGTATCTAAAGAAACTATTACCTCATTGAGTAGCGAATTGCTAAATGCCTGTGGGTGGCAAACCTTTGCTCAGCAGGGGAGAGCACCAGCTCCTGCAATGTGGTAAGGCCAGCTGTGTGGACTGCGAGCAGCATGACTGCTAACACCTGGTCTTTGTTCCTTCATTATTATCACAGCACCTACCCTTATTCTCCACCTGTCACTGTGACTTTAACTTTTTCCAGGCTGCCACCATCATACTAAAATTTTGTTGAATTGAATTTCCATTTTAGCTGAGAAAAATCTTTACCTCTGGTTTGTTAACCTCCAATAAAGATTAAATAACATTATTCCACTACAGAAAGAAAGTAGCACTCCTAAAATCATCCCTTTTGAAGACCTGGAGGAGACAGCCTTCGGAAGGGACAGTACATGACCTGCCCCTGAGTGCGCTGAGCCTCCTGCCTCCGAGCAGCACTCCCTGCTCAGCAACTGGCCTTTGCCATGCAGGGGTGAGTGCCCGTAGAGAGCTCAGAGTGTCTCCGTCAGAGCTGGAAATGACTGCAAGACCAGTCTAAAAAGTGTATGTGATGAAAATTACCTTGCAGCAAACAGTTTCCAGGGTTCTGGTTATACCAGCAGAGTGGAGGCAATGTCAGTCGCTTGTCCTGTTTGTGATTGTGTTACCCTTTGGACTCCAGGGCCCAAATTTGAAGTGATGGAAGCACCTTAGGCTGATTGCAGGAATTGAGCCCTAGTCCCAGAAATGCCCATCACTTTACCTGGCACTAATAGGTGCCTGAACAGCTTACTTGGAAATTACTGAGCTGACCCCACATGACAGACTTGTGTGTGCTCAGCAGGACTGCCTCCCTCTGTAGACCGTTCCTGGGTTTCTCTGGGACCTGGGTTTTTATATTTCCTGCCCAGTTCACAGAGGTTGCAGGAGCTGATCCCCCGATGAACTCTGCAGTCATTCCAGTGCTGTGACTTGGTCTTCCAGCTTCCATCACTTCTATTCTAAATGTGTCTGTGCCTGCTCATACAGAAGTCAGGCCTTTTCCCACTGTTTAGCCACATATATTTTACAGTTGTAATGACTTTACAACTAACCTTTTTAGTTTGGTATCTTTAATTTTTTATTTTTGGCATAGCTTATCATTCTTGTTTGGAGAAGTTTTTCAACCAGTCCTTTTAATAGATGAAAAATTTCTCTTTGACTTGTCTATGCCACAAATAATTTCCCAGGTGCTAGACTTTTTATATTTGGCTTATTAATTAATATTCTTTTCTTTGGAGTCTGCAGAGAATGTAGCTTAGAATTACTGTTCTGGAACCCTGTCGTCCATCACATAAGCATTTATGTTAATGGAAATGCTCTGGGCTGTCCTACAGGTTGCAAGCTGCAATGGGCTACTGAGCACCTGAAATGTGTCTTGATACAGTTGAGTTGAATGTTAGTGAAGGTTGAATAGCTATGTATGGTTAATATTGATTATATTAGCACAACTCTAAAAACTTAAACACAGAGATCAGAGTAGGGGGTTGGTCTGTAATTCAGCAGAGTGCTTGCCTGTGATACAGGAGGCCCTGGGTTCCGGCTCTAGCATAACAAAAAACAAAAATTTGTGTACAATCCGATGACTCAGCCGGCCAGGTGAGGGCTTATCAGTTGCATGAACCAATAATATCCAGACAAGCTCTATGACAAATACCTGTGAAGCAGAGGTCTGGTGCATGCAAAGACTTGTTAAACTCTCAAAGGGCAAACTACAGTTAAGGAAACGAACTTCACATAAAGACCACAGCATCACCATCTCCTGGATGCTTTCAAGGGGTGCAGATCCTCTTTCATCCTACTGAATCCTAGTGTTGGATTTATGCGTTAACCCCCCACCCCACTCCGTTATTCATTTACCAGGTTTTGTTCAGCAACTACTGTAGTGGAGTGCTGAATACCTGGTTCCTATCTTCTAGGAATTACAGATAAAAGATTTCTCAATATGAACTCTGAAGCAAGAAATTTGAATTATTCACTCCTCTTTACAGCACCTAGCTGTGTTTTGGCAACATACGATCAATAAAGGTTAGCTGTTAGGTTGACTTATCTTTCATTATTTTGAAATAGTGCTATTCTAAGAGTATTCTAAGGTAAGGGAAACCATGCTGAAGATTATAGCCACAAACAGCATCTAGAAGGATACCTGAATAATGGTGTGAAATTTTGACCCAGAGCATATCTGTGCCTGCACAATATACATGTAGTCGTAACTGTCATCTCTTAGTATCTTAGGAAAACATAGAATTTCAATAAAACTTTCTCATGCTTAAAAGGGTAAGGAAACAGCCACTACTTCTCATGAGGCCATAAACCTTGTAACTGGGAGGTAGGGAAGGAGGAGTAGAGTTACATAACTTGACTCGGGCTAGGGTGCAGTTTTGAAAGAAGTGAAAGGGTTTCCAGAGCTGGCAGGTGTGTGCCCAGCCGACGCCCTCTTCCCTAGCCGTATTACATGGGCACAAGCTCTAAAAGACGAGTTGTTAAATCAGATTTAACCAGGCTGCTTTCATGTACCAAACCTGGCAGTGCTGGGGCGCACAGAGCCCGATCTGGTGACGGAGGCCCCGGATCTGGCCATCACGGCCCAGACTGCGCTCTTCCGCCATCGGGTACTGTCCCCGTCGCCGCCCCACCGCGCCCCGCAGGGGAATGCGGAAGAGCCCGGCCCGGCGGCGGGAAAGCAGGAAGGCGGTAGGGGGATCCAGGGGGCCGCAGCCGCAGCCGTGGGGACACCACCCGGATGGGACAGGAAGAACGGGTCCAGCGCGTCCCAGCGGGGGCGTGCGGCATAGGCAGCCCCGCTTCCCCGCGGACGCGGACGCGGACGCGGGAGGGACGGTCGGCCGCAGCAGACCCGGCGTGCTCCCCTGCCCAGTTGGACTCGCCCGCCTTCCGGCGCGACTTCTGCCCCGCCTCTCCTGGCAGGAAGTGCGGGCGCCAGGACCGTCCGGTCGAAGCCTCAGTCTCTCTGTTGTTGCTGTTGCTCTTTGCCGCGCGCAGGGCGATCCTGTTTCTCGTGTCCGGAGCCGGGTGAGTGGCTTTCGGCCCTGCACGCGCGACACCTGGCTCGCGGGCTCCTAGTGCTGCGCTCCTGCGGCGGGGCCGGTACGGCGGGCGGAGAGGGGCGCAGAGTAGAGGCCCAGGCGGCGTCCCGGGCTGGCAGGCGAGGGCCCAGGAAGCTCCGGGGCGCGCGAGCCCTGGAGACGCTGATGGAAGGGGGCCCGGTCCTGGGGTGACTCCACACACCCGATGTGCGCGAGGCGCGGCCGATGGATCGTGTGCAGGGCCACTCGGTGCCGACGGTCCAGCGGCCTGCGACCGCACTGCTCGTGTCCGAGGTGAAGTGTCCGGGGAGTCCCCGAGAACCCTGAGTGTACGGCTGGCCAAGGCTCAGTGGCTTACCACTGTGCCGCGCGCGCCTTGCAAAGACTCCGTTCATTCCTGGCGATTGAAGAAAAGGACAGTTGAGATTTCCTTGCAAACAACTGTGAACTCAGCGAAGTCTTTAGTTCAGCCCTAGGAAGGAGAACTGGCTGGACCCATGATGGGAGGTAACAGGACAAAAAATGAAGAAAAGGTCAGAAGGTGGGAATTGTGTCTTGTGAAACGGACGCAGTGGGGAGACCTGCCTGGCGGAGCACAGCTAGAATAAGCTGTAGTTGGGATGGGCAGTAGGAAGTTGGGGCTGGGTGTATGGCTCAGTGGCAGAGCGCTTGTGTTCCGCCGTACAGTAAGGGTACTTAGGTAACGGAGGCCTTTCCATGGATGTCTTGAAAATTTGACAAGAAATAAAAAGCTTTTGTAAGAGGGCCTAGGAAATTAATTGGATTCTTCAGTAAAGGCTAACAAGAAAGGGGGCGTTAAGAAGAATTGTTGGGCAGTTTTTGATCGATAGATTTGAAATGGCCCTTAGTAAAAGAATCCCAGGATTTAGATTTCGATGTGCCTTTATAAGGTTATTTCCTGAAACCCTTTTATTTTTATAATTGAAGGGACTGATACAGTACTTACAGGTAAGGTAATTTGCCAAAGGTCACTTGGAATTCCCACAACGGAAAGACTTGGGTCAACCTCTAGACTTAGCAGCTAAATGCACAGACTTTTGTTCAGGCTCTGATAAATGTTCCGGTTCTGTGGTGACTGTTTTTTATGCTTTCATAAGACTGAATTTGGACATGGTAAGCTGCAACTTTTGAGGTACAGATCTCCAGGTTAGGGTGTCCAAGCTTAAGAAAAACAAAAGGGGCTGGGGATTAAGCTCAGTGGCATAAGTGCCTGCCTGCCTGGCAAGCACGAGGTCATGAGTTTGATCCCTAGTACTGCCAAAAAAAAAGAAAGAAAGAAAAAGAAAAACAAAGATTCAGAGCCCCTAAATAAGGCTAGTTTCCCTATTCCCCCAAGCTTAGAAGACACCAGGTATTTAGAAATGAGTTTCATTGTACCATTTACCAGCATCTTTGATTGGTATCTTTCTAATTCCACATGGAGGAACAAAGGGAATTTCCACCCTGTGAGGTGTTTGGCAGTTGAGACCTCTGAAACAGGTAATAGATGAACAAGAGAAAAGACATACAAAACTTAAAGTGTGCAGGAAAACAGGAAGGTGAGTACTCAACCTCGTGAGGTTTAGCAGCTTACACTCTTTCATAAGGGAGAGGGAAGTGGTAGGAGCTGTGGACACTTTTAGAGGAAGAGTAAATGATTTTTAGGGGAGATAAATGAGCCTGAAGAGCGGACATTACCCTGTTTCTTTGGGGTCTGGGTGTGGTGTCAAGTCTAATCTTCTTTCCTAAGAATTTTGTTTGGTGAGATTGTAGGGAGAGGATCCCAGAACACCTGCGTTCCTTGTGGAGGAACTTCCCATAGTCTCATACAGGAACCTTGGAGAAAGCCCCTCACCCCCACACAGGGTTTGTGCCAGTCCATAAGCAGGCCATGGAGAACCACCTTACTTTGGGAGTCGGATCCAGGACCTACCTTTGAACGATTGCACGTGTGTGGGACAGAGATTCTGTTAGTCACAATAATGAAGCAATGTATTTTGGTTACCTCATATTTAGTAAGCAACTACCACATTCACGATACTCTACTCATCCCTGCAATCCAAGGTGCAAAGACTAAAGGCCATAAAAATGAATCTGTAAATTGTATGGCAATGTAATATTAGCAATAAAAAGGAATGAAAAGTGGGGGGAGTGGCTTAGTGGTGAAATCCTGACTAGCAGCTAAAGGCCCTGGTTTGATCACTAGTAGCACAAAACATTTAGAATGAACCACTGATAAACTTAACCTGATAGGTGGATGTATTGTTTGAAATTGGATCTCACTTTATAGCCCAGACTGGCCTTGAACTCAATCCTGAGTGCTGAAATTACAGGTGTGTAGTCCAACTCTGACAAAATGGATTAATCTCAAAGGTACCATATTGGGTTAAAGAAGTCAGAGTATATTATACTGCATAATTCCATTTACAGGAAGTGTAAAGGCAGACAAAAGAGAACTGTGAACAGGAGTTACCTATAGAAAAGGACCTTTGATTAGGGAGGGAATTTTCTGGAGTGATGCTAACATTGGTAATTCACAGTAATTGGATCACGTGGGTGTGTTTATGAAAATGTGTCATGATTTGTACATTTCCCAGCACATCAGTTTCACTGCAGTAAAGCAAAAGTGGTGGGAGTTCAGAGGATAGTTTACTGCAGACTGGGATAATCATAAAGCCTGTGAGAAAGAAATGACAGTACAGAATGTGTCTGGTAAATGTTAAAACACATCTAGTGGGGAAAGCTTACATGATGTTAAAAGCTTAAATAGTAAGTTTGGTTCTTTAAAAGAAAGTTATAATGGTCATGGAACTGACTACTGATTTTTGCCTAAGTACGCACCATACACAGTGATGTATAATTAAGTATATGAGGTTAATCTTGTGGCATATTTTAACTTGATTATATACTGAAGTCTCTTTATGATTGCTGTTTTCAGACTGCCACTCATGTATCTAGTCATGTGATCCTCTTAATTAGAGCAAACGTTAATTAGTTTTGACCATGGGAATCCAGGAGAGAGTTCCAAAGATTTGGATCTATCTTGGTGAAAGTGACAATAAATCAAAAATGACCTTAAAGTTTTAGCCCAAGAACATCCCTGCTTTCCGGTGTGTGAACAGATTCCTCCTCCCAGGGTCTCTCGCCTTGTGTCTGCTTACAAGTCCCTCGGCTGCTGGCCTCAAAGGCCCTGAGCGTCCTGCTCTCCTGGCCTTTCAACCCCAAGCCTGCTGCAGCTTGGCTGAAGCTTGGTTACTCTGTGTTCTCAAAACCAGTTAGCTCATTTCTGAGTGGTGCCTGTGCAATACCAGTTTTTCAACCAGTACTTACAAAAAACACATGAAAGACAGCCTCCTTACAAGCTCCGATTAGGAAGGGAGAAGCAACCAGCAGCCCCAGCTCAGGTTAGCGGGGAAGGCGGTGCTACAGGGGGGTGACTGTTGCAGTTACAAGGATGGGGTTCCGGATGGAAAGTGAACAGGGGTTAAGATTTTCCAGCCGGAAATAGAAAACCCCCTATGGAGTGTGGACTCGACTATGGTCCATTGAGCTTTCTAAAATTTTTGTGGCTTTATGTCTGAAACAGAGGCGTTGCCCTACTTAGCATGAAAGAGGTCAAGGAATCGGTGACACTGACTTTTCTGTTGGTGTGTGACAAATTGCTCCCAAACTTAGGACTTTAAAAATTAGCGCAGCATATGAGGGCCTGGTATTCAGCCGAAGCTTAGCTGCTGTGTTTCAGGGTCTCCTGAGGTAGCAGTCGGATGTCAGTTGAGGCTGCCCCATGTGAAGCAGCCAGCCAGGGGCGCTTGAGGTGAGCAGGGGGTGCCTCAGCTCCAGTGGGCTGAAGGACCAAAGGGAGAACAGGGCAGAAACGGCAGTGTCTCGAGACAGAGTCATGACAAAGTCACACACATCACTTGACAGTACCTGATTCGTCACGGTATCCAGACCTTTCCACTGTTGGAGGGAGTGGAACTGGACTAGAGCTCTGGTCTTTGCAGGAATTATCCTGGTGCATTTTCAAGCGGTGCTGTGCTCCTGAAGGCCTTTCAGTGGGCTAGACTGAGACCCAAGCATCTTTAAGCTTCAAGATGATTCTAATGTGCAGCTAATTCCTGGGAAACCATTTGGTGGCAACAGCTTGCTAAGTTAAGGTGCTTATTTTAGGAAAACGTTTCTAAGGAACCTGGAGTCATAGTGGACAGAATATGTTCCAGGACGTCTTTCCCATGCTTCAAAGAAAGCCGGATAAGCTACACAGAGTTCACAGACCGTCTCTGCTTATTAGGATAGTGGTGTCCACATTTGGATTTGCATATCAGTACTGCAGGTGGCTCAAAACATCTAGATTATCACCAACTGGATGCCTGGAAAAGGCAGTAGGGCTTGTTTTTGCTGCTGTTGGCGGTAATTCGTTCCTTTATGTACTGGGGTCTGTATGAGTGGTTTCTTACCTACCTGTGGTTCAAGGATAGGCTTGGGTATCTTCTAACACTTACAAGTTAGATATTAATAATCTCATAATCCTGGGTAAAAGTTTCAAAGTGAAATCGTGACTGAGAGAATCGTAATCGTGCCATTTGGTTAGTCCAGCCGGGCTGCCCCACTGCCCAGGTCCAGGCAGCACCGTCCTCAGGGTCATTCCTCCAGTGGATTTGAGAACTCGGTTCGTGTGGGATTTGAACTTAAGAGTTGATGCTCAGGAACTTGTGCCAGGTTATATTATTTTTAGTGTTAAATTATTATATATAATATATTTATATTATATATAATACATATTTTATATTATATTTTAGTGTTAAAATTTGTTTAAAATTGTTAAAACAGCTAGAAGAACAGTGTGAAGCAGCAGATACACAAGTGGAAATAGTGTGTAGCAGATGAGTGTAACCTTTTTAGTGTCCTTTCCCTCCGCTGTCTGCCCAGGGAGGCGGGCCAACGTTCCTCCACGCCGCACAGCCTGTGCCTCACACAGCTCCGCCAGTAAACGGTGCAGCTGAAGGCCGAGCCCTTGAATTCCCTGCTTCCTCCCGAGGCAGACTGGTAAGGCAGGGCTTTATGAACTGGGAAAAGGGCAAGAACAGTGCACACCGGGTAAGAAACCATCCCGAACCCCGGAGTGTCCCAGCAGTCCAATGTTTGCAAAGGAAAACCACGATGTGATCAAAAGTACAGTGAACTTTTTAAAAAATTTATAACGGTAAAGGACATTGCCGTGAATCCCCTGGTCTCCGCACACCCTGCATCATTCTTTCGGCTTGCTGAGACAGTTCCAGATTCCTCTTTCCACAGAGTTGTTAGTTCTGCTGTTCCGCTCCTCGCTGCCCTGAACTGCTTCAGGCTGTTTCCCTTGGGTGTTAATGCTGCCTTTGGGAAGGGCTGGAAGTTAGCTGTGTGGAGCTGGACCCGGGAAGTAAGGTGGGTGGGCGCATGCCTGTGAGCCTGCCTTTCTGCTGGCTGGTACTTTGGGGCAGCAGTCACTGTGTTTTTGACCACACCTCATAAAGACACTCAGGAAAGAGGGCTCCAGGACCCTTCGGAAAGCGGCAGGAACCACAGGCTAAGTGTGTTCGGAGTCCGGGGAGGATTCTGGGGGCTTAGTGGCGGTGTGTCTCACTGTAATAAACCTTTCAGATGTCCGCGTCTATCTTGAGCCCTGTGTGTGGGCAGCAGTGACTGGCTGGAGGATGAGGCAGGGTAGATATGGGTGCGGAGCTTGCATGGAGAGGGGCCAGAGGTTGTGAGAAGTGCTCTGGTGAAGTTCCGCCCGTATGAGAGCCGCCTCTGGTGGAGTGTGAAGGGGATCAGGAGGCCAGGAGCTGGGCGTGCAGGCGGTGGAAACACTGGTGGAAACGCTCCACCCAGGAGACGGCAGGATCCGGTCTGGACCGGTACCGAGAACTGAGGAAGTGAGCACATCTGAGAAGTATTTGGGAGGCGGCCCCACGGGCTGGGGGAGAAGGGTGTGTGCAGAGCCGCTTGGCTCCTGGCTGGTGCAGGTGGGGGGTGGCAGGCAGCCCGGATAAAGGAGAAGGTAGGAGAAAGCTGGGCCAGTGCAGGAATGGGGTGACGGGCCCCACACTCACTGTACTGGTACCAGGCGTCCCTGGGATCCAGCAGGAGCCTCCTGGACAGCAGGGCGCTCAGTTCAGGCCAAAGGTGAAGGTCAGGTGTGCGGCTGCAGACTGGGGAGTCCTACTGGGGAGTCCTAGGTGCAGTCGGCTCTGCCAGGGCGGTAGAGAGGGAAAGCGGCTGTGTGCTACCAGGGTGTGCAGAACCTGAGCATCTGAATGGCAGTGAGTGTCCTGTGAGAAAGTGGGACCTGTCACAGAGTGGGGAGCACTGAGAGCAGTGGAATCCGAGGAACCTGTCCAGCCCATCCAGCCTGGTGTCCTGCCTGAGGCAGTTGATTTCTAGTGTCACTGGGCACCAGGCTGGCAGAGAGAGAGGGCGAGAACGGTGTCAAGTGCAGTGGGGAGGTCCCAGAAGAGTCAGCATCCCAGGAAAGGAGAAAGGCACATGGTGATGGGGACCCCAGCAGAGAGCAAGAGGATGGCCTTTCTTGGGGGTCCCCCTCACGTGGGTGCAGTTGATACAACTTGGCCTTGCTCTTCTGGGTGTGTTTGTGTGTTTTCATGTGTGCATACACAAAAGTATGGGCAAAAGTTTTTTCTTTTGTTTTTTTTGCAGTGCTGGGGACTGACCACAGGACCTGGTGTGTGCTGGGTGAGCACTGTACTGCTGAGCTACAGATCTGAAAACATTTTAAAAGAAATTACAGTTGGGTGTGGTGGCACACACCTACCTGTAATGCCAGCTCCTTGGAGGCTGAGACAAAAAGATCACAAATTTGAGGCCAGCCTGGGCAACCCTTGTCTCAAAATAAAAAACAAAACAGGGCCAGGCACATTGTTCAGTCATAGTGTTCCTGTTCCTAAATTCAGTCCCCCTGCCACAAAGGGACAGACAGGAAATGGCAGTGTTGCTCCACCAGGCCTTGCTTGCTGGATTAGGGCCTTCTCACTCTGTTCCCTTTCATCACAGTGTTTTAAATGACTTACTGTGACTGAGGTTTACTGATTGAACTTACTCTTTCCTTCAGACTTAGCCTGAATGTATCCTGTGAATATTAAACATGGGGAACACCTCACCCCACAGCTCTGGGGTGTGGGGAGGAATTGAGACAGTGCAGTGGGGGTGCGGCCTCCCTGAGGCTCTGGTGATAAAGTCTGGTGTCTGCTAGTGGCTGGGCCACACTGTGTTTCTGGCTTAGCGCTCAGTGTCAGCAGGGTAATAACAAGCCAGGTTCCTGGGGGATAAAACTGGCGTTTATTGTAGACACGCGTGTGCGGGGTGCGCGGAGCTGGAGTCCTAGACTCGGCAGATGTGTCCACAGGAACACCTCAGAAGCCGCTGTGCCATGGCACAGTATAGACTGCAGAAGGTGCAGCGTGTGTGCCGGGTGACAGTCCCGACCCCTGCTCCGTGCCCCCGCTGCGGTCTGCTTTCCCCACAGCCATCCTTAAATTCACTGATTCACCAAGACTCACGGAGCCCGCAAGCACGGCTCTGCTCCCAGGTGTGGCTTGGGAAGTGAATCCGGTGAAGTCAGCCCAGGGAGGAGCTGTGCGGGTGGAGGCGGAGGGCTCAGATCAGAGCTATGAGTGTCTCCCACGTAGTACCTAAGGCAGGCGCAGGCAGTGTGTTAGCAACACAGAAGGTCCTTGGGCATTGCTGCATCATCGGTCACCTGCCTCTGTCACCAGCTTGGTGTCTGGCTTGCTGGACCTGATTGAGCTGATGCCGCATGAGCTTTTGTTGTTAGACTGTGTGACCCGAGACTGCAGGGATCAGGCAGCACAGTCCTGAGCCCAGGATGAAGGCCAGGCCCGGCAGTCAGGAAGGTGGACAGAGACATCAGATCAAGTAGTGCATATGGCGGCTGGGTGTGTGCAGTAGTCGTGGTGGAGCTGAGATTGAACTCAGGTTTCCTGACTCTGAAGCTGGTAGCACATTTTGTTCTGTTAGCAGTCATGCATCAGTGGTGCTGTGTTCTGAGCAGTGCACCAGGATGGATTTGGTTGCTGTGCAGGCATCTCAGCATACGTGTGCACAGTGCTGGGCTCCAGAGCCCACCACACACCCGTGCCGGGATCAGGGTCGCATAGTGCCTGACTGTCCACATGGCCTAAAACTACAAATAAATATGACACAAAGAGGATGTCTGTGTCTGAGAATTAGCGTACAGGTGGCTTCAGCAGAGGGTCGCAGGCAGCACCGAGGCCATCTGCACAGGACCCAGAGTGGAGGAGTCCGAGGACATAGAGATGACTGTGTGAAGTTCTGCTCTGAAGCTTCTGCCAAGGACGGGGTAGGCGGGCTGGAGGTGCAGCTGAAGAGCTGCACAGTGACATGGGGAGGAGGCTGGCTGGCGGTGAGTGGTGTCTGTGCGCATCGCATTGGCCCAGGGGCCTCGGGCAGGATGGCGTCCTTTCCCCTTGCTGCAGTGGCTCTCCTGGCTGTGCTGTGCAGCTGGCAGTGAGTGGGAGTGAGAGGGCCCTGTTGCCCCCATGGTGAGGAGGAGGGGCATGAGCTGGGACTGGAGGTCCACTCTGGAGCCTTTCTGTGGGCCTGTGCCCTCAAAAGGACACAGTGAGTGCTGCTGCTGTTACATATTTTAAATTTGTTAAAATCCATGCCATGAAATTCGGGGGGAAGTAAATCATGTTCTGTTTTGCTTCTTTTTTTCCAGCCACCTGACAGCCGCACTGACAGTGATGCTTAGCTGTGCGCTTGCTCCTGCCCAGTTGAAGCAGCGTCGCTTTTATTCACCATCCTGTTACACATTCTTCTTTTATCTTAGGTCTTAGACATGCTTTTTTTCCCTTAGAACTCCAGAACTCAGCTGCCACCATGTCGAGCAAAAAAGCGAAGACCAAGACCACCAAGAAGCGCCCCCAGCGTGCCACCTCCAATGTGTTTGCCATGTTCGACCAGTCGCAGATTCAGGAGTTTAAGGAGGCCTTCAACATGATTGACCAGAACAGGGACGGCTTCATCGACAAGGAGGACCTGCACGACATGCTGGCCTCGCTGGGTAACCTTCGTAGTCTTACATGCTTTCTCTGGGAATGATAATCGCTGTCTGTGAGTCACTCTGTGGTGTGATGCCAAATGCCCAGTTCTTGGCCAGAAGGCAAGGAAGGATTTCTGGGTATGGGGTGTGCGCCCCCCAGGCTGGGCCAGCTCCAGGGCAGAGCCTGCAGGGCTGGCAGGTGCTGTGGCCGCGTAGGCTTCCATCTCTGTTAGCTGAACCCTTACTAGGTTGGAAGCCAGGAATGGTGAGCAGGCACAGTGCTGTCAAGGTTGTCAGATGACGAACACGGCCAGTAGTACAGTGAGGTTACTAGGCTGAAGACAGTTGCAGCCCAGACATGACAGCAGTGGATGGTAACCGCTGCCCAGGGAGCAGGGAGGGGGCTTCACAGAGTTACTCTATAATTAGAGAGGATTAGTGGGTGCAGTGTTTGCACCTTTAATCCCAGCTGTTCGGGAGGCTGAGACAGGAAGATGGAGCGGTCCAGGCCACTCTGGGCAATTTTGTAAGGCACCGTCTAAAAAAAACTCAAAAGGGCCGGGGATGTGGTTTAGTGGTACAGTTTCTGCCTGCTATACATGAGGCCCTGCAGTGACCCCCGGCACTGGGGGGCGGGGGCAGGCACATGATTAGAAATGCACCCTAACTGTCCTTTACTTTGGGTAAGTAAGTATTCATCTTAATATACTGGCTACTCGATTTTTATTTTATTTTAAAGAGAATAAGCCAGATAAAATAAAATAATAAAGCCAATCATAACCAAACCATGAAAGTAATACAAGACTTTAAAACAGGAAATAGGAAATCAACAATGGCCACTATAATCCCTCTTATCTTCAAAATAGTTGCCCACACCATCAGACATAAAAAATCCAACAAAACAGAACAGAATGAAACAAAGCAATGAGAATGATACAAGACTTTATAACAAGATAATAGGGAATTAACAATGGTTACCTCCTTGGGAGCAGATCCTCTGTAATTGCTGTGTTGCATATTATCCCCTAGAGAGATGCTCAGACTTCCAGCTTTAGGCCTGCAGGGCCAGCCACGCAGTACGGCATCAAGGTGTTTGTTTACTTCAGTGACTTCTCATCTCAGCCAGCCGATTCTTTCTGTTGGAGGGGAGCTCAGCACTTCTTGCCTCCCAGCCCGTGGGCAGCTGGCTCACAAGAAGGGCTTGGCCCTGCCCCTGGCTGCTTGAGTTTTAAAATTTTATTTATTTTATTATTCTTCGTGGTGCTGAGGATTGAACTGCAGTAAGCTACATCCCCAGCCTTTTAAAGTTTATTTTGAGACGGGGATCACTAAGTTCCCCGGGCAGAACTAGTGATGCTCCTGCCTCAGCCTCTCAGACTGCTGGGATCCTAGGGTCCCATCACTGTGCCCAGGTTGTTTCAATCTTATGGTAGTCATTTTTTTTTTTTTTTGTCTTTTTCATTTTTATCGGTACCAGGGATCAAACTCACGACTGCACACTTGCAAGGAAGGCGCTTATGACGCTGAGCTAAATCCCCAGCCCCCGGTTGTTTCAGTCTTTAAAACAAGGAAAGAGGAAAGGAGGGTCCTACGTGTCCTGCCCGCAGTCAGTGCTTTTATATCGGGGAGTAGAGGAAGAGCGGCAGGCAGATGAGTCGACCAGAGGCCACACTTCGCCGGGGTGCCAAGGGCCTGGGGTAGCCTGTATGGGGCTTAGCACTCAGGTCTTCCTGCTTGATGACTGATGGAAAGGTCAACTTTAGGGCCAGAAGGGATACAGAGTCTCAAGAGCCTTCTTATCTTTTTCTCGTAATGTGACTTTGCAAAGTTTCCAGTTCACAAAAGTTAAAAGTACAGCACAGTAAATACCACACAAGGAGTGATCGAAATATATGGTGAATGTTTAAATTTTTCTTTTAGTCAGGCATAGTAGCTCATGCCTGTGATCCCAGCCCTTGGGAGGCTGAGGCAGGAGGATCATTGCGAGTTCGAGACCAGCCTGAGCTACAAAGTGAGTTTAAGGCCAGCCTGAACTGTATAGTGAGATGCTGTCTCAGACGAAAAACAATAAATAAATAAATAAATATAAATTTTTCTTTGAAATCATTCATTAGAGTAAAAGACACATTGACATTAACCCCCTCAGAACCCACCACCACCACTTTAAACACACTCGTCCCAACCTTGCCACTTTCCAAAGCATTTCCGGAAGTCCTATTTCGTGAGGGACGTGATGAGGTGTAATCAAACCCGTGGTGATGCTACCACCAAGGGCCATCCAGCAGACAGGCAGGCACTTAGAGATGCCGCGGGGCCCCATCCCTCTTCTCCAGGCCTGCCTTGCAGTCAGCAGGGCCGGGAAAGGGAGACGCTTTGAACCTGTTCAGGATGTCGGGCCCCTGCTCACACGCAGTGCTCTGTGGGTGTTTGTGTGAATGAGGGCCCCTGGGGCTTTGTGATGGGGACCTTGTGGCTTCCCTGTTTACTGTCAGGTCAGCCCCTGGCGTCTTGTGCCCTGAGCCAGTGCGTGGTGCTTAGCCTACGCCCTACTGTTTAAATTCTTTTCTCTTTGCCTTTGGCTTCGGGCTCCCGACCCTTCCGTGTTTTGGAGAGTTGAGTCACAGAAAGGGAGACCTCTGATCTTTTAGCTGTGTTCATGTCCTGGGTGACTCGTACTGTGTGGTTGAATAGGCACAGGGAGGTGGGGTTGGAGCGCATGGAGGTGGCCGTCTGCTGGTACGCAGCGCCCCCAAGCATCCGGGGAGTGGACCTCACGCATGCGCTCTGCTTCCGTGTCTGAGCAGCCTGGCCTACCTAGCCAGGGGCAGTTTGGAGATGATGCTTTGGACTGCAGAGCCTGACAGCTGTTCCTGCTCTGAAAGGCAACATTAACCAGGCCTTTCTGTGGGTTAAACAGAGGAACCCTGGGACAGGGTGGCTCTGGACACAGGCCTGGCGTCAGGCTGAGCCCAGCTGGGACGGCCATGCAGCCAGCAGTGGACCTGGGTTAGAGTCGTGTTCCGGACCCTTAGCACTGCAGGCCACCTGGCCACAACTTGGCTGGCTGGTCAGGGTTTCTGCCGGCTCCTGGGGAGGACCCAGAGTGCCCTAAGGACCCCAGCGACTCCCTTTTCCGACCCTGCCTGCAACACTTCCTCGGGGACGTCCCTCACACAGGGCTTAGGGCTCTGGAGCCCCGGGCCAGCTCAGGAGTACAGGGCAGGAAGCAGACAGTCACAACAATAGGAACAGTTGGGGTTTCTGATAATTGTTGTTTAAATGACTCCCTGATGGGCCTTTGATATCACTCACACCCAGGATTCAACAGTGTGGTGTTTCCTGTGCACAGTTCCAGGTTTGGTTACCTTAGGGTATATGTGTTCAGTGCAGCTCTTGAAGTTTGGCGAGAGGATGGGGAAATTAAGGAGGGGGGAAGCCGAGGTCAGGAGGGGCCCTCTCCTGATGGGGGCAGGGACTAAGGGTGGTGTCGAGTTCGCCCCTCACTTTTGCAGCTTTGTGCAGTGACTGCCTCCTGCGTGCCTGCTGGGAGCTGGGACAGCCCCGCCGCTCCCCTCACCCAGGCTCTTGTGCTCCCCGGGCTGGCCTTGCTGCAGCCCCGTTCCTGCAGTGGATCTCTAACCTCAGCCGCTCCCTACGTTTTTAAAATTTTATCTTTCTTTTTATTCTTTGCTGCTGGGGATAGAAGCCAGGGCCTCACAACACGCTAGGCAAACGCTGCACCCCTGAGTCGCACCGGGTTTCCAGGGTGCCTTTGTAGACTGAGGTATCAAAGATCTTAAGTGGTTCTCATTTGTCATCCCTAAAACGCCCTGTTCTTTGCACTTTGGGTGGAGATAGGGCCCAGCCCACCCGTAACCTCGTCTCACCCTTGCAGGGAAGAACCCCACCGACGCCTACCTGGACGCCATGATGAATGAGGCGCCGGGCCCCATCAACTTCACCATGTTCCTCACCATGTTCGGGGAGAAGCTCAACGGCACAGACCCGGAGGACGTGATCAGGAATGCCTTCGCCTGCTTCGACGAGGAGGCCACAGGTGCGTGCCTTGGTCCCGGGAAGCACTTTCTAGGAGAGGGGAGAAACAGTAATCAGAGAAAACAGTTCCCGGATGAGTAAAGGGCAGCAGCAGGGCCGCAGCGCCGGGGAGCCCCGAGTTAGGCTCCGGGGCCCCTGAGAACCCAGGGGCAGTCACGGTCTTCTAACCTGCGCTTTGCGGACCACGTGAACTGGTCCGTAACAGACACTCGGCCTCACCGAAAAGCACAGTTAACCCCACAGAACACTTCCAGGTCTTACTTTCTTTGTCTTGTGTGTGTGTCTTGCTGTAGCGCACATGCACAGAAACTGTCAGGCACTCAAAGCCCAGCGCCCCCCTCCTTGGCTCTGCAGCTCTGCCCAGCCCATGCCGGCCCCATCAGCGTTCCTCCCTCTGGTCCCAGGCAGCTGCCTCGTTCTGTCTTGTTTTAATCTGACAACTTTTATCGCTGAGCTGAAGCGCAGTTTCACCCTTAACCTCCCTCCAGTGAGGCTGGCTGACCTTCAGACCCACACTGATGGGCCCTCTGCAGTGGGTCGGGATTGGCCTGACTTACCATGTGGTGACCCTCTGTCTCTGCAGGAACCATCCAGGAGGACTACCTGCGTGAGCTGCTGACCACCATGGGCGACCGCTTCACGGATGAGGAGGTGGACGAGCTGTACAGAGAGGCCCCCATCGACAAGAAGGGCAACTTCAACTACATCGAGTTCACACGCATCCTCAAACACGGGGCCAAGGACAAGGACGACTAGGACTGGTGTCCACCTCCCGCGCCTGTGCTTCCTGTCCTCCCTCCAGCCCACAACCCCCGGGCCTTTGCATGCACCTAGTGTCACGGCTTTGCTCTTTGATGTATTTATTCCAGACCTGCTGCCACTTAGCACTTGTATAATCAGACTGGAAGTTGGGCGAGGTTGTAAATTGTACTGAAAAAGATTGCGAATAAAAATCAGTAAATGTGAAAGCCCAGGAAAATGTATCGGTATTTCTGGTTTTGCTGGATTTTTACATTTTTATATAATAAAGTGCTATTTTGAAATAAAGACGCTGCTGGCTCAAATGGAATGTCATGGAAATTACACAAATGAGTCGGGGCAGTCCTTCCCCCAGGGGTCCCGCTGTGAAGAACTCGGGTTTCAGGGTTAAAGGAGTGTTCTGTATTAAACAGTGTCTTCAGAACTGTAGGTCTACTTCAATATCAATACCTTCTCAGCAGTCGGGAGGCTGAGGCAGGAGGATCCCCAAGAGTTCTAGGCCAGTTTGTGGCTACATGGTGAGTTCAAGGTCAGTCTGAACTACATTATGAGACCCTGTCTTCAAAAAAACAAAAGATAACTGAGTCTTCCCTGCCACCTCCACCCTGCATCTGGACCGGCAGTAAGTGTGGATGCTCAGGACACCACCTGACTGTTCTCTCCTGATGCCTGCAACAGCGGCCATGGGGAGGCTTGGGGAGCTGCGAGCACTGCACCAGACTGCCACAGCTGGACTGCTCCCTTGTGCCCAGCTGGCATGGCATGCAGGCCTGCCATCCAGCACTCAGGGAAGCTGAGGTAGGAGAATGACAAGTTCAAGGCCAGCCTAGAGAACTTGGTGAGAGCTTGTCTCAAAATGCAAAAGAAAAAGGGCTGAGGATTAGCTCAGTGCAAAGGTCCGGGTTCAATCCCAGGAATACACAGACAACAGTGATAAAAATGGTGCCCTAACCTTAGCAAGTGAACACATCTGCTGTAGCCAGCTGAAAAGCAGAGGCACGAAATGCTACACAAGTACTGACCTCAAGCAGGTCCCGGAGCACCGCCCTACCAGAAGCATTGAGAACCTGCTCAGCCCCAGGACTGTGGGGTCAGTGTGCCCTGCTCCACATTGTCCTGTAAACGACTTCATCTCTTCAGAACTGTGACTCAGTTTCCAATCTCACAAGAAAATGCTGCATGTTTTTCCAGATAAGTCTTAACATTAAACATTTAGTGGTTCAAACATCTGACTTACCAGCAGCACGCAGACAGAAAAGTCTAATTCATTTTTGGGTTTTTTTTGTCTTTTTTGAGACAGGGTCTCACCATGCAGTTCAGGCTGGCCTTAAATTCACTTTGTAGCCCAGGCTGGACTTGAACTCTTGGGGATTCTCCTGCCTCAGCCTCCAGAGCGCTAGTAGGCCTGGCCAACACTGCTTGTCTGTAGCTGCATTTATTCTATTCCTGTGCTTAGCACAGATTTGAAAATGAGGGGAGGGCCGGGGGGGGGGTCAAGATCAAAACCAGAAAACTTCACGGCTCCTGGCATGGCCCTGCCTGCCGTGGTGTTTTTGTGTGTATTCTGCAGAGCGCTGTGGGATCCAGGACATTGCTCCCCTCCAGGGTCTGTGACAGTGACCCTGATGCTGCCTTCCGCACATAGCAGCTTTCTCTTCTGAGAACCCATTGTGATAACCAGGTCAACGGTCCTCCGAGCCTCGCAGTGGGAGCCCACAGCTGGTTGAAGGACTGCGCGTTCATCATCTCTTTCCTCAGACCAGGCACCAGGCAGGGGCAGTGACTTCCCAGGTTACTGACGGTGCTGGCAAGAAGGCAATTTTGCCTTCATCTATGAAACAGTAGAAGCAGGCACAGTGAGCCTTGCTATCATATTTTATGGGCATGAATACACTGGATTACAAGTTACCCAACTTAAATTGATCTGACACTTCTTGGGAGGCTGAGGCAGGAGGATCACAAATTTGAGGCAGGCCTGGGCAACTTAGAGAGACCCTGCCTCACAGACGGGCTGCAGCTGCAGCTCCCTGGGGGAGGACTTGCCTGGGGGAGGCTCTGGGTCCCAGCTCCAGTACTGAAAAGACTGAAGGGTGGGTCCTGGGGAGAAGCCTAAGCCTCGTTTCCAAGCTGCAGGTGGCAGCAGCCCTGGGGACCAGCGGACCAGCGAGGCCTGAGGTGTAGGAGGAGCCCTTGGTCTCTTTTTCTGTGCTGTGACCCCTCTTTGGTCCTCTACTCAGGGGAAACCTCCACCATTTCTGCTGTTTGCCCAGCAACCTAAGTGCTACCTGGAGACTCTGTGGACCGTGTACTGACGCCACCGACCCTGGAAGGCAGCGACCTCCATCCATGTCGCATCCTGAGGCCGAGGTTCTAGCAGACGGCTCAAACCGCAGATGGCTGCCGTGAAAAGGCCCGCGGGGGCATCATCTGGGGGATCTGTGCGAGCGAGTGAGCCTGCGCCACAACACACGCGGTTTTTTTTTGTTTTGTTTTTGTTTTTTATCGGTACCGGGGATCGAACTCACGACTGCCTGCTTGCACAGCAGGCGCTTATGCCGCTGAGCTAAATCCCCAGCCCCTAAATTTAGTTCTTTTTTTTTTTTTTTTTTTTTTTTAGACACACGCGGTTTTAAGAAAAGGTTTCCGGGATGGGAAAAAAGGGTGCGGATCACAGGCTGCACGCGGGGCGCTCTGCGCTTAGCGGCTTGCGAGTCTTTGCAGCAGTTGCGATTTTAGAGCTAATAATTGGCAGCGTCGCCAGGTGGCGCTGCCGTTCTTAGCCCGCATGCTCCGGAGCCCGCAGCTGTGCACAGCGCGCGCTGTAGGTAACTGGCGCCTTGCCAGAGTGTTTCATAAAGAGAAGGAACTGGTACCAGGTCTGTTACTGTGCAGCCTGTACTATCTACGAACCCCAAATTCGGGTAGCAGCTGCTAGGGCTTCTTGTTACCGATGCCTCAGGCAAATGCTTCCCAGCCTGACTCCTCCCTTCTTCTTTGCCTTCCCTTCTTAAATTTTATAGTACTTTATTTTATTTTTTGGAGACAGGGCCTCACTATGCAATTACAGGCGTGTGCCACCATGCCCAGCCCCTCGATTTCTCCCGTCATTTCTGAAAATATTCGTCAGGTGCTGGAATAGCGCCAGCGTTCCAGTTAGCGCTGAGAACACGGGCTTCCTTACTACAAGATCTGACTGTCTCCACTGTGTATTGCTCAGGCTGACCTCACACGCCTGACCTTGAATGACCTTCCTGCCTTGGTCTCTTGAGCAGCTGAATCATTTGGGGTTATGTTCCATTAAGGCGATGCCGACTGTACTTTGCTGATGGAATATTTTTTTTTTCCTTTTGTATTCTGGAGACAGGGTCTCTCTCTCTCTCTGTGGTTCACCTGGCCTTGAACTTACTCTGTGGTGGAGGCTGGCCTCCAACTTGCAACAGTCCTCCTGCTTCAGCCTCCTAAGTGTGGGATTACAGGTATGCGCCTCCACACCTGGCTAAAAATATTATGCTTATTGTAGAATAAGTAAAGCAATCTGGTCCGTCATCTCTATTAGATTCCTAGCAGATTGTCGACGGCTGGAAGCAGGATCCATTCAATGAAAAGCATCGTAGGAGATAAACTCCCAGTTCTCAGCTCAGAAGACTGAGGTCTGAAGGGCCCCAAACCTGCCTGGCAGCATCACAGCCCTGAGCCACCTCTTGCCCTAGTGCCTGCCCGTCTGGCTCCTGCCCTCCCAATCTGTCAGGCTGCCCCCACCCCCTGCACCCCTTAGCTTGTCTTTCTGTCTTTAAACGGCCCTGGAGCTCTGCACTTTCACTATTTTCTTGCACCTTTGAGACCCAAACTTCAAATGTAACTATCACAAGAGAAGAATATATTAGCAAGCTGGGCTGTAATCACAGCATTCTGGGAGGCTGAGGCACGAGGATGGTAAGCTCCAGTCCAGCCTGATAAACTTACTGGAACCTCAAAAGTAAAAATAAGAGGGCCGGGGATTTCACTCAGCAGTGTAAGCGCCTGTCTGGCTAGCTTGAGGTCGTGAGTTCAATCCCTGGTACCAAAAAATAAAAATGAAAATAAAAGCTGGGGATCTAAGAGGAGCAGGAAGAAAACACAGGAGAAAGGGAAGAAGAAGGTGTAAATAGAGACGCCCCACGGCACAGTGCCTCTCCGGGGAGGAAACAGGACCATACCACTCAAATCTTTTTTTTTGGCGGTACCGGGGATCCAACTCACGACCTCCTGCTTGCCAGGCAGGTGCTTATGCCGCTAAGCTAAATCCCCTGCCCCCCGTTTTTTTAAAAAAATTTTTTTTTGTACCGCCCAAATCAATGCTTTGGAAAAACTTCTCCAGCCAGCCAGAGCTGCTACAGCTCGGTTCCAGCCTGGTTCCCAGCTCTAGGTAGGTGCACAGCGCCCGAACCACATCCCGCTCACCGCTCACGGGTTTCCCGTCCCCCTCCTGAGTCTGATGAAAGGCCGTGCGTGAGTCTATAACCCGACCAGAGCAGAGGGAAGTCGGGTGTTCTGCGCAGAGTGGGGACCCCAGGAGTCCAGGCTGGACACGCGCTGCCCGGGTGCACGGCTGCTGTCCGATGCTCCCACGGAGGAAACGGTCCTAAACGGCCCTGCGATGTTGGAGAGTTGGGACCTGCGCGAGTCCACCCTGCGCACAGCGGCGGCGCTCACAGCGCGCCTCCCCGCGGCCTCCTCTCTCCGGCTTACATCCGATTTTCCGTGTGCGTGGTTTTGTTGTGATTTCTTTTCCAGCCCCTGTTCCCTGTAGCCTTCCCCGCTTTGCCACTTTGCATATGATCACAGCGGCCCTCAGGGTTGAAACCTTGCCGAGCAGTCCTGTCTTTCATTGAAAGACACACTGGACTTGGAAAACACAAACCTACCGCCTTATTTTCCTTGCAGCTGGGCTGGATTGGAAGTGGGTGGGAAATGGGTGACCTCTGCCTGGGGGAGGAGATACGGAGGGACAGAGGGCGGACAGGCAGTGTGGGCAGCTGGGTGTCCTCGCTGGGTGGGTCTCCCCCTGGCCTTGTGCTTCCTGTGACACCAAGGCCAGAAACGTGACCCTGTTTTAAAACCAAGTCTAGATGGAAAGCTACTCCAGGGCAGCCTGGGTCCGGCACACATGTGCACACGTGTGTTCGTGCACGCCCGTGTAGAAGACATGCTAGGAGCTGGTAGCTGCTGAATTTGGAGGCCAAGGGCCCAGGATGAGGGCACAACACACATTCACCGTGAATGCTTTCTCCTTGAAACTCTGAAACTTG